AATATTTTCTTCTAATAGTTTCAGGGTTTCCAGTTTCACATTGAGGCCTTTAATCCATTTGGAGTTGATTTTTGTGCAAGGTGAAAGATAAGGATCTAATTTCATTCTTTGACAGGTGGAGATCCAGTTTTGCCAGCACCATTTGTTGAAGGTGCTGTCTTTCCTCCATTGTGTGTTCTTGGCACTTTTGTCAAATATCAGGTGGCTGAAATTTCGTGTACTCAGGTTTGGGTCTCCAGTAATCTATGTCTATTTTTATGCCCATACCATGCTGTTTTTATGACTACAGCTCTGTAGTATAGTTTGAGATCTTGTATGGTAATTCCCCCAATGTTACTCTTTGTGCCGAGGGTTGCTTTGGCTACCCAGGGTCTTTTGTGCTTCCATGTGCATTTAAGGATAGTTTTTTCTAATTCTGTGAAGTATGTCATGAGAATTTTGATTGGGATTGCATTGAATCTATACACTGTTTATGGTAGGATGGTTATTTTCACAATATTAATTCTTCCTATCCATGAGCATCAGAGGTCCTTCCATCTTCTGGTGTCTTCCTCAATATCTTTGTTTAAGGATTGAAAATTTTCATTGTAGAGATCTTTGATGTCTTTGGTCAGGTTTACATATATATACAGACATATATATTTAATACATATATATATATATATATATATATAATTTGTGTTGTTGTTGTTTTGAGGCTATTGTGAATTGGAGCATTTCTCTGTACTCTTTCTCTGACTGCTTGTTATTGGTATATAGAAAGGCTACTGATCTTTGTAGATTAATTTTGTAACCTGGCAGTTTACTGACAGTGTTGATCAGTTCTTGGATTTTTCTTGTGGAGTTTTTGTGATCTTATGTATAACATCATAACATAATTTGACCTCTTCTTTTCCAATTAGTACTCCTTTAATTTCCTTCCCTTGTCTTATTGCTCTAGCAGATGTTTAAAGCACTATATTGAATAGGAGTGGAGATAGTGGACGCTCTTGTCTGGTTCTTGATTTTCATGGGAATGCTTCCAGTTTTCTTCCATTTAGAATGATGGTGGCTGTGGGTTTGTTGTATACAGCTTTAATTACGTTGAGGTATGTTCCCTGCAGTCAAATTGCCTTTAGAACACTTGTCATGAATGCATGCTTTGTCAAAAGCCTTTTCTGCATCTATTGAGATGACAATGTGGTTTTGTCTTTGAGTCCATTTATATGATTTATGATGTTTATTGACACGTATATAGAACCATCCCTGCATCTCTGGAATAATGAGTTGGGTTAATCTGTGTCTTAAAGTCCTATAGTGTTGTTTTTATGAATTTGGGTGCACCAGAGTTTGATGCATTATATGTTCATGATTGTAATATCTTCTTGGTTAATTGTTCCTTTGATTAGAATGAAGTGATCCTTTTTATCTCTTCTGATTAGTTTTAGTTTGAAGTCTATTTTCTCAAATATTAGAATAGCAACCCCTGCTTCTTTCCTAGTGCCATTACCTTGAAATATTGTTCTTCCATCCTTTCACCTTAAGGTAGTGCTTGGTTTTGAAGGCGTGATGGGTTTCTTCCAAACAGTAAAAAAATGGATTTTGTTTCTTAATCCATTCAACTTGTGTCTAGCCTGTATCTTTTGACTGGGGAGTTCAGTCCATTGATATTTAAAGTTATTATTGAAAGATGTGTTGGTTGCCATCATTTTCATTACTGTTTTTATTTTTTGTGTAATTTTGTGTTTATACAATTATACCTTCATCTAGTTTCTCTCTCTTGACCCTGGGATATAGTTGTTCCTTTCTCTGTTCTTTGTATTGCTTCAAGTATTCTTTGAAGGGCTGGTTTTATGGACATGTATTCTTTCAGCCTATTCATGTCATGGAAGATTTTTCTTTCCCCTTCAACTATAATAGACATTTTTGCTGGGTAAAGGATTCTGGGTTGGACTCTAACATCATTTAGAAATGTAAATACCTTGGTCCAGTCTCTTCTGGCTTTCATAGTTTGCATTGATAAGTCAGCTGTAATTCTGATGGGTTTTCCTTTATATGTGAGTTGTTTTTGTTTGGCAGCTTTCAGTATTTTCTCTTTGTTCTGTACATTTAGGGTTTTTAGTAGGATATGCTGTGGGGAGTTTCTTTTCTGGTCCTGTCTATGTGGTGTTCTATGTGCTTCTTATATTTGTATGGGGATGTCTTTCCTTAATCTGAGGAAATTTTCTTCTACAATCCTGTTTAAGTTCTGATTAACCTGAGATTCTTCTCCTTTCTCTATGCCTATGATGTGTAAATTTGGTCTTTTCATGCTGTCCCACATTTCTTGCATATTCCATTCCTGGGTTTTTAAAAATTTTTCATAATTTGTGCTTATGAGTAGCCCAGTTCATCAACTTCATCCTCCAGTGTTGATATTCTGTTTTCCATTTCATTCAGTCTATCCTTGAGGCTTTCCCCTGTTGTTTCAAATTGGCTTATTGAGTTTTTCACTTTCTTCTTCATTTCAGCCTAAGTTTTCTTCAGTCTTTTTGTGAATTCAGTGAGTTTATTCCTATCTATCTTTTTTTAGCTCTTTGGTTTTTTTTTTTTTGTGTTCTTTAAATTCGTTGAATTCCTTGATCATATTTATGATTGTTCTTTTAAAGTCTGTGTCCTAGGTTATGTCTAGGGAGTTCCCCCTTGTAGAACTCTCCTACAGGACTGGTGGAGTTTGGTGGGAAGATGCTGTTTTGGTTTTCCAGATTCTTTTTCTGTTTCAATTTTTGGCATGTTGATTTTTTTTGTTGTTTGTGATTCTGGTATGAAACTCAAACCTTCTTTTGTTGAGTTGAAGTTCGCTTCTGTGCATTATTGGCATGCCTTTGTTTTTTTCTTATTGGGTATGTAAAGCTGGCTGGTCTAAGTTTCAGGTTCTCTCAGGTTTTATTTTGGAGGGAACTGGTGGATTCAGATCAGCTGCTCAAGAGTTCCCACAGATGCCCAAGCTAGGCTCCAGTCATATCCATTCACGCTTCCTTCCAATGTTTGGATCCCTACTAGGGGGTGCTCATTACACAGTTTGGGAAGTTCGCTAAGGGGAGGCCCGATTTTGGCTTTCTCAGCAGTTTGCTAAGGTCTCAGCCCCTACTGTAGAGAAGAGAGGTCTAGCCCTGGCAAGGTGGGAGGGGCCTCACATAACCCAAATTAGGGGATTTGATAAAGCATGATTTGGGGAAGCTCACCACCATGCAGAGGCCAGATCCAGGCACTCTCAGCCCCTATACTAAGGTGACAGCTCCCATCCTACTGCAAGGTGGGAGGTCAACCCCTTGGGGTGGGGAGGCCTCACGTTATCCCAATTAGGGGATTGGATACTGATCAATTTCGGGAAGCTCACCATCAACCTTCTCTTCATATTCTGGAATCTAATTTAACACTGAGTTTTGGGTAAAATGTTTTTCAAAATATGCCTACAATGGTTCCAGGAATGGAACCAGGCAGGGCAAGGGGAGGAGAGATGTGGCCGAGGACTCACAGTCTGCATACTAGAGGAAGCCCCTTGCAAACCCCTCGGCTCTGTGCGCCCTCCACTCTGCAGTGCGTCCTTCCTTTCCACGTTTGCTTTCTCTCTTGCTGAAGTAAACCTTGACTGCTCTCTGTGCTGTGGCTTGACACCCCTTAGATTATGGACCCTGATTCCTTCTTTTTGGGGATTGCTCAGAGGATTTTTCTGTCAATGTCATGTGAGAATTGCTATGTGGACTTTCCTTGAAGAGGCTTCACTGATCTCCCCATCGTCATCCCTTTCGTTGGGTGTTTTTCTCTCTCTCTGTGTCTGTATCTCTGTCCCTCTGTCTCTGTCTCTGTCTCTCCTCTTACCTCACTTATTCTTATGTTAAATGAAACTCCTCTCCAGGCTGTGAAGGTTTTTTTGTTTGTTTGTTTTTGCTTTTTTTTATTTATTTATTTTTATTTTTATTTTATTTTTTTATTATTTTTATTTTATGTGTATGTGTGTATTGCCTGCATGTAGGTAAGTGCATCCATGTTGTGCAATGCCCACAGAGGTCAGAAGAGGCTGTCAGATCCCCTGGACTGGAGTTACAGACAGTCATTAGCTGCCATGTGGGTGCTTGGATTCAAACCTAGGTCTTCTGCAAAAACAACCAGTGTTCTTAATTGCTGAGCCATCTCTCCAGTCCCTGTTTTTGATTTTTTAATTTTATACATGTGTGTGTGGATGTATGTGTGTCCACTCATGAGTGTGGTATCCATGGTGGTCAGAGGATAAGAGATCCTCCTGAAGCTGGAGTTACATGTTGTTGTGAGTGGCCTCACGGGACTTGTGGGAGTTGAACTCTGGTCATCTGAATGTACACACTTGGAAGCACTGAGGCATCTCTCCAGGCCCCTCTCCAGGTTTTAAAGGGAAGCCTTTCCTTCTCCTTAAGGCCCCATCATATTTGGCCTCTCTGGTATATTGTACCATTTTCTATCTAATGTTTTTCCTCAGGCCTCTAGGTCCAATCACGGTCTCAAAGTCCTTTCTCCTCATAAACTTCATTCCAGCTCTCCTTTTCCTGACTGATCACTGCTGCTCTATTATCTCTTTATTGTTACATTTAACAGAGGCACAGTAGAGTTTTGAGACATACAACAAGAGTATATACTTGCTCATTAAGGCTCTTGTCCATCAGTGATATATGTTATACTCCTTTGGCTAACTTGGCTGACAGGATAGTACAAGGTAAGATAAGATGCCTATCTCCTCTCATGCTCATGTGCACATGATGCCACTGTACCATAGGAATGATTTCAGGTGAGCAGAACTCTTCGGTGAGATGTTATAAAGGACTTGCTGATTATTAAGGGAAACTTGGATGTTGGGTGTGAGGAAGGCCATGGTGTATTTAGGTCAAGTTAGCTGATAGAGAGAGGAGTAATTTCCCCATGGGAAGTGGAGACCTGGGAAGTTCTGGCATATACCCACATTTCTGTAGAAAAGGAGTCACTTTTTTTTTTTTTTTTTTTTTTTGGGTCTTTTTGAAACATGGTCTCCCTGTAGCCCCACCTGGCCTGGAACTCACTATGTAGACCAGGCTGGCCTTGAATTCAGAGAGGTCTGCTTGCCTCTGCCTCCCAAGTGCTGGAACTACAGGCATGAGCAACCACACCTGGCCAGGAGTCATTCTTAAATGGAGTGAGTTGAGATAGGAAAGAAATATGGGAACCCAAACTACTGCAAAGAAGGGTTCTAACTCAGAGCAATACTGTCGTGGAGTGAAGACTGTTTTATTTTCTTACTACCAGTTGAACTCTTAATGGTCTATTGGGATTGTGTCATTTATTGGACTGGAGGGGCATAAAGTCAAATTTACTTCTGGGGCCTGGAGAGATGGCTCAGTGCTTAAGAGCACTGACTGCTCTTGCAGAAGAACTGGGTTCAGTCCCAAAATCTGACACTCTCTTCTGACTTCTGTGATATTGCATGACACCAATGCACTCATATACATGCAGGCAATACACTCATACACATTAAAAAAAAATAGCAGACTTCTGGAGGCCTGAGTTTGTGTACTTTCAGCTTTCAGGCCCACTGGTAGGTGTGCTGCGATCCTCTCTTCCCACACTATCCTTAAGACAAAAACTACAGGTTAGGGAATAAAGATATTTATTTGGGCTTGCCAACAAAAGCTTATATCTGGGAGGGGATTACTTACAAAGGCATGGACGATCATGGGCTTTTTTATCTACATCTTGGCTGAGCTTTCCAGATCCGAGCCTGCCAGCTAGTTGGCCCAAGATGGCAAAGCTCCTGCTTCCTCCATGGCTTCTTCACGTCTATCCTTAGACTCCCCCCCTCATGTAATTGAAGCTGAGTGGGTGGAAAGGGTGACTGTCTCCCTCCCTTCCTTTGGAGTGTCTTAGGATTCAGATATTCAAGTTGCTGATTCTTTCGGAGGACATGTCAGTCCAACAGAGGCAATCTGAGGAGCTTTCTGAGAATGGTATGTTCTTTCTGGGGGGAGAGTTCAGCACAAGCAGTTTTTCAGAGTTGATTGAGTTGAGATTGCTTGTGTATGTGTATATGTTCATCTTACTGCAGGTATGATGCAGGTGAAGTTCTCACATGTTTTCGGAGGCCAGAGATTGACAATGAGTGATGCCATTTGTCAATTTTCTCCTTTTTTGTTGTTGTTGAATTTAGAAATTTTATTACTATTATATATGTATGTGTATATCATGTGTGTGGACAGGCTCACATTTGCCATGACGAATGTGTGGAGGCCTGAGGACAATTTCGTGGAGTCAGTTCTCTCCTTCCCCCTTTTGTGTTCTGTGGATTGTACTGAGTTTGCCAGGCTTGCCAGGCAAGTGCTTAACCTGCTGAGCCATCTTGATGCCCCCCTTCACCTTCTTTATTGAGACAGACTCTCTCACTGAACAAGGAGTTCACTAATTCCCTTAGACATAGAGCAGCCAAGCATGTGCTAGGCTTCCTGTAGCCTCAACCTCCTAACCACTGGTTTAGAGTCATGTATGCTGTGACCAGGCTTTACTTTGTCTTGGGAATCTAGTTTCTTGTTCTTATCATTATGTGATAAGCACTTTACAAGTGAGCCATTTCCTTAACCTCAAATTCAGTTATTTTTTTTCTTTTGGTCTTTTTGAGACAGGGTCTCCCTGTAGCTCAAGCTGGCTTGGAACTGGCTATGCAGACCAGGCTGGTCTTGAACTCAGAGATCCGCCTGCCTCTGCCTTCAGAGGTTTTAATTTTAAGTATATCTGTGTTATGCCTGCATGTGTGTAAGTACAGTGCTCAACGAGGATAGCAGAGAGCATTAAATCATCTGGAACTGGAGTTATGGATTGCTGTTAGCCACAATGTAGATGTTGGGATTTGAACCTGGGTCTTATACAATAATAGCCAGTGGTTTTTGTTTTTTTTTTAGGGGGGTTCTTTTTTGAGACAGGGTCTCTTGTAGCCCCAGCTATCCTGGAACTCACTATGTAGACCAGGCTGGCCTTGAACTCACAAAGATCCACCTGCCTCTGCCTCCCAAGTGCTGGAATTAAAGGTGTGTGCCACCACACCCAGCCCAACAGCCAGTGATTTAACTGCTAAGCCATCTCTCTAGCCCTTCAAAATGAGGTTTTATTTAGCTGTGTTGAAGTAAACCACCTCTGCTCTTTGTCTTTTGTCTTGGATTTGAGTTCATTAGAGGTAGAGATGTTCTTACTTTGTCTTAATAACAAAGGGTGAAGGTGCCTGCCTGAAGGGTCCCCATGGGAACAGCTCTTATGGCTTGTGGCTTTAATACAAACAGAAGTCTGGCTTATGTGGCCAGTATCTGATCAAACTGCTTTCAGTTGAAGAATAAGCAGATACAGGAAGCTGAATTTGTGGTTGCATTTGTCCATGAGTGTTTTAGAATACTCATGGGCCCAGCAAGACAGGGGTCGATTGGAAATGGTTCTGGGGGAACAGCTATTAATTGAGACCACTAAAAAAAAAAATGTGGCCAGGTATGGTGGTGCATGCCTTTGATCCCAGCACTCGGGAGACAGAGGCAGGCAGATTTCTCTGAGTTTGAGGCCAGCCTGGTGTCCATAGTGAATCCAGGCCAGATGGGACTAGATGGAGACCTTGTCCCCAAAAGATCAAAAAAACAAGAACAAACAAACAAAAGGTATATATAGAATAGCCGTGATGGCACAGGCCTTTAATCCTAGCACCCTAGCACTCAAGAGGCATAGGCAGGTAGATCTCTGTGAGTTGAAGCCCAGCCTTGTCTAATAATGAGTTCCAGGCCAGTTGTGGTTAAAGGGAGACCCTGTCTCAAAAAAACAAAAAAAAACAAAAAAAACCCACCTTATTTTTGTTATATGTGTATGAATGTTTGCTCTGCCTGTATGAAAGTGCACCATGTGCATGCAGTGCCCATGGAGGCCAAAAGTGGACATCAGAGTCCCTGGAACTGGAGTTATGGATGGGTGTTAGCTACCATGTGCATGCTGGGAACTGAACCTTGGTTCTCTGAAAGAGCACCATGTGCTCTTACCCGCTGACCCTTCTCTCCAGCCCTAGAGTCCATTTTCACGGAATGGCTGGTAGACATCGACAGTCCAATTAGGAAGTTCGAACAGTCAAATCAGTCCTCCGTGAGGGTTCAGTTGTGGTGTCAGAAGATGTCATATACTTTTGGACAAGGTGGTAAGATTATATTTCAGGCAGGATCAGGAATAACAGGATGTCGAAGGACTAAAAGTGACACAATAATGGGATTTCTCTTTTATCAGGTAAGGAGTGCGGCATCCGTAATCAGGCAGATAGGCTGCCCAGACCCAGTAAGGAGTCCAGTGATATTGTCAGCATTGTCCCGAGAGCAGGTAGGCAGCCTTCGTAACTGGGGTAAACATGTGCATTTTGTTTGTAAAGTTTAACCTTGGTCCTGGAAGAGTTTTGGAGATCTCCGTGGAGTGTCAGGGACTGGATGAATTCCCTGAAGTGGGTGTTGGTGATCTGTAGGACAAGGAGTGGATAAAAGAAAGATCATACAAAATTTAAATTTATATGATGGATCCCAGAACGGTGAGAGGGTTTTGGATATTAGGGTCTGGAGATTTTTGAGGGTGGATTTCACCTGCTCCTCATCAGAGAGTAGATCGAGATCTCCTAGAGCCTCACAGGAGTAGTGCTCATAAACTTCTGGAGGAGGTCAGATGTACCCATGGTGGTTGTCAAGGGCAAGTTCATTCATGAGACAGGCAAAGTATTGACTGGAAAAGATGGAAAACCAAAATATAAAAGCAACAAAAAGAGCTTTATTGGAGTAAGCAAACAGCTCCATTGTCGAATGGCAGGGGTCCAGAGCTGGGAGGCCACTGAACAGGTCCAGGGTCTTATACGGTCACTGGACCCTCCATCTTCCATTCTTTTTATTGTTCCTCCTTGGATGTCCAGCCCCAGTGGGCTCTATTTCCATCCATGCTCCACCGCAATGTCTCCTGGGAACAAGTTGTTGCCATCTTAAGAAAGCTGCTCTGACTTTATCTGGCTGTGTCCCTTCTCACTTTCCCTCAATAGAAATGGACCTTGTAGCTTCTTACAATTACAGATTTGAACTTGCCCTGTTAATGCCAGGTCCAAACAGCTTTGACTGGTCCTTTTTCTTGTAGGTGGCTTTTATGATTGACCTGATCCCCTGAGTTAATGTTAAGGAATGATGCCAAAAAGCTGAGGTTAGGCTTGGACTTCTGCTTATCCCGGTAGTCATTATTGGCTTCACAGTGTATCCTAGTGACAGCATTGACCGATGAGCCTGTAAGGAAAGGTTTTATTTATAGTCAGAGAGAGCTAAAACTGCAGGAGAGGTGCTTTAGGAGTTTAATCTAATGGTTTAATCTAATGGATCTTCCTCTGCTTCTCTTAAGGACTGCTTTCTCTTAAGGTGAGCTGTGTAAACAGCTAGCCATGCTTTCCCACCCAGATGAGCTGTATCCCTTCTTAGTATATAAGCCAAAATATATCCTTCATCTTGTCAGGTGTTTGGTTGCAACAAGGAGAAAAATACCTACTTCCTGGTACTTTTAATATCCATTTTAATGATAGGCCCTCTAGAAGTAATTTTAGTGTGTTATTGGGTATAGAATTTTAGTTTTACTAATATACATAGAAATGTACATTTATACACGTGTATGTATATTTGTATGTATGTATGTATGTTGTATGTATGTATGTGTTTACCATTCTGGTCTTGAAGTCGTGGTGATTCTCCTTCCTTAGTTTCCAGAGTGGACTTAATGCCTGTGCTATAGGCATTTCCTTTCCTGTGTGTAAGTTCTGGTCTATTCCATACTTTCTACTCTATAATAATCAGGGTATCAGATCTTATGTTGAAGTCCTTGATCCATTTGGAGTTAAGTTTGTGCACTGTGAGAGATAGGGATCTATTTGTTTTCTTCTATATGTGGCAATCCGGTTTGACCAGCTCCATTTCTTGAACACGCCATCTTTTCTCCAGTGTGTGTTTTTGGCTCCTTTGTCAAAAATCTAGTTGTTGTAACTATGGGGACTCAAACCTGGTTGCTCACTTCTACTCCATTGGTCAATGTGTCTGTTTTGATGTTAGTGTCATCTGTTTTTATTACTATAGCTCTGTGGTATTATTTGAGATTAGGGGTGGTAATCTCTCCAGCACTTCCTTTATTGTTGAAGTTTGTTTTTCCTGTCCTGTGTTTTTTGTTGTTGTTTTTGGTTTTGGTGAGGTTTTTTTGTTGTTGTTGATGTTGTTTGTTTGTTTTTCTGTTTTTGGCTTCCCAATAAAATTTGAGATTATTTTTTCAATTTTTATGATTAATTTTGTTAGAAATTGATTGGGATTGCACTGAATCTGTAGATTGCTTTTAGGATGGGCTGGAAAAGTGTTTGACCAAATACACTTTTGTCCTTTATGTTGTTAAATGTCACCAGCACAGAGAAGGATGCAAATAGGGACTCAGAGGACATGTCAGAAAAGTGACCAGGAAAAAAAAAAAAAATCCAAGAGCATGAGTTAGGGATTGAATATTTCATAGGTATTTCTTTTAAATTAATATTTTCTCATGAAGAGAGTAGAGAGATTTATAAACCTTAAAAAGTAAACTTAGAAGGCTGGAGAGATGGTCTAGCATTTGACAGCACTTGTTGACCATCTAGAGAACTAAAGTTCAGTGTCTAGCAGCCATGTGTGCGACCCATAATTGCTTGTAACTCCAGTTCCAATCTGACATCCTCTTCTGACCTTGAGGGAACTAAATACTCAGAGCCATGTATATACACATAAATAAAAATAATGTACTTTTAAAAGTAAACTTAGGAGGTTCAATAATCTCCTAAAACAAGGGTCATAGTGCCCCTCACGAATATATAAAGATTAATGAGTAAAGACTAACAAATCCTGAAGATTCTGACTCTCTGGCCTTGAAGTTCCCCAGTAGTTGTTCAGGAACCTTTCTAGATGGAGCTTTTGTGAGCTGTTACACATGGTAAGGAGGTTTTTCAAAGTTACAGCTGTCTTTCTGTCAACCATGGTCCTGTGAGTAACCCTTCACCCATTCTTCTGTAAGTAACCTCAATAATTTACTAGACTTTGATACAATCTTTTCTTTTGAGTGTCATACTCTGGTATGAATAGACGTGGTTCCATCTGCCCATGAGAAGATCTGAGGTTCAAATTTATACAAATTTTGAGCTTTCCCCAGGGCAGGGTATGTGGGGTACAAGATCCATCGTAGGTCCCAGTTATGTATAGTCCCAATGAAAAAGGTACGTGTAATATGACAGATCTCCCAGTTATGTGAAAGGAACTTGTCTCAGCACTCTAAACCATCGCATCCCATTTAGAACAATGGATTTCTACCTCATGAAAGTGAAACCCAGTTTCATTTTGGAGTCACTTATTGGGTGTTTGGATGGAAATCTGGACTGATCTGGAGGTGGCATTCACAAAGGCACTAGCTTTGCATTGGTCTTGTAGAGACGTTTTCTGGGGAAATGAAGGCCTGGCCAACTGTGATTTTCTAAGATCAGTCAGTATCTGGCATATTGCTGCATTCACATAATTAAGACTGAAATTCAATATTTTAATGAGTTTACTAGTGCTTTTCTTATAGGACACTATTTGCCATTAGGAATTAGTTTGAAGATGTACATGCACTATGTCAGAGGTCACTAAGGGTAAGAGTAAAATGTTGATGCCTGATTTTTAAGTTTTAAAATGTTATCATTGTGTGTATAATGTGTGAGTACATGAATATGTGCATGTCACAATTGTCAGGGAACAGGCTTCTGTTACACAACCTGTTTTCTCTTTTTATCTTTTTTGTGTTCTAGGGATCACATTCAATTCTTTTGGGGCACGTGTTTTTGAGACAGGGTCTCCCTATATCCCCAGCTGACCTGGAACTCAGTATGTAGACCAGGCTGGCCTTGAACTCACTGAGATCCACCTGCCTTTTCCTCCAGAGAACTGGTATTAAAAGCATGAGCCACCATGCAAATTCATATCCTTAAGCTTGTGTGGCAAGCCCTTTCCCTACTGAACAAGCTCTCTAGACTCCAGGACCAGATTTTTAAATGTGGCAGTTAGTTTTGGGGCTTTGCCTTTACCTTTTTTTTTGGTTTTTTGGAGAAATTTGCCATTTGCTGAGCCATTACTGATCCTAGTCAGTTTTTCGTCAAGTAAAGAATTATCTAGTTTGGGCCGGGCGTGGTGGTGCACCCTGTAATCCCAGCACTCGGGAGGTAGAGGCAGGTTGATCTCTGTGAGTTTGAGGCCAGCCTGGTCTGTATACTGAATCCAGGCCAGCTAGGGCTACCGGGAGACCCTGTCTCAAAAAGACCCACCCCCCTAAGAATTATTTAGTTTGATGATTCATGGTTTTTTAAAATATTTTATTATTTTTCTTTTATGTGTACAAGTGTATTGTCTGCATGTATGTGAGTGCACCCATGTTGTGCAGTACTGTGGAGGTCAGAAGAGGGCTTCGGATTCCCCTGGAACTGGAGTTAAGGACAGTTTGTAGTCTCCATGTGGGTGCTGGGAATCAAACCCAGGTCCTCTGCAAGAGAAGACAGTGCCCTTAACCCCTGAGCCATCTCTCCAGCCCCAATTCATGATTCTTATCTAATCGTATAAAATGAAATCATGAGTTTTGGTGACCTGCTTCCTGCCCTTCCCCTTTCCAGTCCTTTTCCCTCCCTCTTTTCTTCCTGAGATGCATGTTTTGCTACATAGCTTAGGGTGACTTGGACTTTTGTGCTCATGTAAATCTGTGTCATTTTCTGATGCAGTTGTCACTGTACACATATGGTGGTAACATGACTGACTACAGTGTGTTTTTATTGAAGCACATGTCGCCTTTGTATTTACTTTATTCACATCTGACATTATTTAAAAAATTTTATAGCTGGGCATGGTAGTGTACCCCTTTAATCCCAGCTCTCAGACACGCAAATTTCTGTGAGTTGAAGGCCAACCTGGTCTACATAGTGAATTCCAGGCCAGTTGGGGTTACAGGGAAACCATGTCTGAAAAATACCAAAAAAAAATTTTTAAGTATTGTCTTAGGATCTTTAAATTAACTGGTATCTTATTTGTTATTTGACTAAAATTGTACTTGAGGGGCTGGAAAGATGGCTCATAATTAGAAGCACTGGCTGTTCTAACAGAGGACCTGGGTTCAATTCTCAGCACCCACATGTCAGCTAACAATCGTCAGTAACTGAAATTCTACGGTGTCTAGTGCCCTCTTCTGACCTCTGATGGCACAGCACAACATAGGTACACTTACATACATGCAGGCAATATATTCATATACATAAAAACATTAATAAGTAAAATATATTTTTAAAAATTATGCTTGAGTAAACTATAACATATACATTACTTCTTCTGTAAGCACATAGAATGGGCTTTCTTAAGAGAGGAAGTAGACATGTGCTGTTGAAAGAATTGGGGCAGAGCAGCAGCACATCCTATGCCCTGTGTGCAGTAGTGAGAGGAGTGTCCCTCCAGCGCTCTGTCCTTCAGAACCACTCAAAGCTTGCAATAGAACTTCTGTGTCATTGGAGCAAAATGGGATAGCACAGAATGTGGGAACCTGTTATCAGTTGAGTCTGTGGAATATTTAGGATTCTGTGTCATTCGAGGATTTTGTCGTGAACTTTACCCAGGAAGAGTGGGCTTTGCTGGATCCTTCTCAGAAGAATCTCTACAGAGATGTGATGCTGGAGACCTGCAGGAACTTCACTTTTATGGGTAAGATTATCATCTTACCTTCCTTAGCAATTTGAAATATTAAAAGGGAAGAATGGTGTATAAATTTGGTATGATAAAGATATATCTATATCTATCTATCGCAAACCATTTTTTCAGTAATTTCTAATTCATCAAAATTTTCTTCAACTTCATTTTAGGACACAATTGTGAAGATGAGAATATTAAAAATGATTATAAAAGTTCAGGAAAAAAATCAAAGGTAATTTGAGAACAGTAGAAGGAAAGTTTCTTTGAAGGGAGTTTTAAAATATTTATATTTATTATTCATGTGAGTGTTGTGTTTTGTGTGTGTGTCTTTGTGTACATGTGCTCAAGGAGGTCAGAAGGCATTTTTATATGAGCATTTATGAGTAAATAATCAGTAGGCACAACCTTATGGTTTTTATCATTAGGAAATGTAACCTGCATTTCAAATTAAGAATCCTATTCAGTGTTTCACGTGGATAGCAAATGCTATAATAATATATGTGGAAAAAAGCTTAGTTCTTCCACTTCTCTTCGAGGCCATGAAAGAATTCAATGTGAAAAACCCTATGCATGTAAACAGTGTGCTAATCCCTTTACACTATTCAGTTATCTTCAAGGACATGAAAAGATTCATAAGATAGAGAAAGCATTTGAATGTAAACAATGTGGTAAAGCCTTTAGGGATAACAGTCATCTTCACAGTCATGAAAAAATACATACTGAAGAGAAATCCCATACATGTAGAGAATGTGATAAAGCCTTCACACAGTACAGTCAGCTTTAAGTACATGAAAAAATGCACACCAGAGAGGAACCCTATGCCTGTAGAGAATGTGGTAAAACCTTTACACGATGCAGTCAGCTTCAAGCACATGAAAACATTCATACTAGAGAGAAACCCTATGCATGTAAAAAATGTGGAAAAACATTTAGACAGTCCAGTCACCTTCAGGGACATGAAAATAGTCATACTGGAGAAAAACCATGTGAACGTAAACAATGTCTTAAAGCCTTTAGCCATAAGAGTGACATTCAAGTACACAAAAAAATTCACACTGGAGAAAAAACATATGAATGTAACCAATGTGGTAAAGCCGTTAGATATCACAGTTATCTTCAGTTGCCTGAAAAACTTCATACTGGAGAGAAACCATATGAATGTAAAAAATGTGATAAAGCCTTTATGTTTCCTAATTCCTTACGGTCACATGAAAGTATTCATACTGGAGAAAAACCGTATGAATGTAAACAGTGTGGTGAAGCCTTTGGACATAAGTGTGATCTTCAAAGACATGAAAAAACTCATACTGGAGGAAAAAACGTATGAATGTAAACAATGTGATAGACCCTTTTGATGTAAAAGTGATCTTCAGTTACATGAAAAAATTCATACTGGAGAAAAGTCATATGAATGTTAACAATGTCACAAAATCTTTAGATATAATAATCTTCAGAGGAATGAAAAAACACATACTGGAGTAAAACCCTATGCGTGTAGAGATGGTAGTAAAGGCTTTATACAATATAGTCACCTTCAAGTGCATGAAGAAATTCATACTGGAGAAAAACCAAATGAATGTTAACAATATGGTAAGGTCTTTAGATATCACAGTTCTCTTAAGTTACATGAAAAAATTCATACTGGAGAGAAACTATGAATGTAAACAGTGTGAACAGTGAGGCCTTTGCATTTTCTGGTTCTTTACAGTTACATGAAAAAAAGTCATAGTGAAGAAAAACTCAGTGAATGTAATCAATGTCTGTGGTAAAGACTTCAGATGTCACGGTGATGTTCAAAGACATAAGTTGATATTAGACAGAATCCTTTGAATAGGAGCAGTACAGAAAAAACATAGACTTCACAGTTGTCTTTACCTGAAAGAATTCATATTTTTGTAAACCTGTGAATGCAATCAGGGTAGTAAATTCTTTAGATGTCATAGTTACCTTCCTTTATGTGAAAATTCATGTTAGACCAAATCCCAAAGAATGAAAGCCATGTAAATCCTACATATGGTATTTTATCTTAACTTTCATGAAAAAAAAAATACTGGAGAAAAACCTTGTGAATGCAAAGAATGTAAAGCTTTACATTTAATAACTGTACAATTACAAGAGAAAACTAATTTAGCAAAAATCCCTGTTAATGTGAACAATGCCTATAATTGATAACCTTCCTGAATTACATGGTAGGGCAGTTTCACATCACAGTGCTCTTTCAATGTCAAATAATTCATGGGAAAAAAATTTCTAGAAATGTAAAACCCAAGTGTTGTTAATGCTTTTTATGAGTTCATTTCACTTATGGATAAGAACTTACTCTCAGACCTCTAAGAATATAAATGACTGGGGAAAGTATCGAGCTAGCACAGTCCTCAACAAAAGCAACAGTGTGTTGCTTGAGATTTTTCCTAGGGAGACCTGAGCAAATGTCTACTCACCTGAGACAGGAAGCTAATGACACAAAAAAGGAATTCTTCCAATGTCCAGTTCACTGAACGTGGGTAGGATGCTCTGGGGGTTACTTCCAGGTATATGGACGATCACTGACAGCCCCATCACCTAAAAGCCCAACCATGCTAAGTGATGGCTCATGGAAGCTGCGATCTGAGATCTCTGCACAACCGGCAGGCAGCTTGGTTAGTTGGGGAATTTCTTTTCACAATTGTTTACTGCTTCTATAACGTCGTGAAGTGGCTTTAGCAATCTTATAACTTGAACATTCCAGAACTCATTTACTTCTTGAGGCTTATGCTTCCCTTTGAGAGAGACTGTGTCAATTTGGAGGAAATTGCTGAACAACAGTCCAGCCTTTGCACTGGCTCTTACACTGTTGATTACATTTTATATACTTGAGGGTCGGGGGTGTGGATATACGTGTCCATCCACGGCTAACATTTTGCCACTGTGCTAGAGAAATACTCACTTTTCCCAAGGATCTTCATTAGTGTTATACCATCCAGTGTAAAAGGAAATTTCCTTCCATGAAGAATTGCAGCAGACAATACCAGAGACCTATTAGGTATGGTCACCCGAATTCCCTCTGGGTCTCCTGCATTATCAAGTAAACCACATAACATATCTTTATGTGAGTTTATTATGGTTTATGCCCTCGGGTAGGGAGGGGGTAAATTGGGGAACTTACACAGAATCAAGCAGTATTGCACAGTGGCTCAGAGCCCACCACCTGATGCTCCCACGGCCTGCCCGTAGTCTCCCTTAACTTTTGCCCATGCATCTTGGGCCCACAGTCTCGTCCCAGGTCGATAAACGCCCCCTCTCGTGTCCATGCGGGTGAGGCACTGGGGCCATCTCTCTCTCCACACCCACCACCGCGCACATATACAGGGTAGCTAACATGTTTTCCTTGTGTTCACATTCAAATTCTTAAAAAAATATATTTTTATTTTACATGTATTGGTGTTTTTCATACATGTATGTAAGTATACCTATGTTGTGCTGTGCCTGCAGAGCTCAGAGGAGGGTTTTGGATCCCCCGGAATGGGATGTTTAAGTAGAAAAGAGTGCTGCTTTTTAGACAGGTTTGAATTTTGTATGGTAGTACTGTCCTAGTATATGTATTGTTCCCAAACAGAAACAGGGAAAGTGATAACAACATGAGAAAGCTTCAGCCTGTTACTACAGGTTGTGGAAGTTACAAAGATGGTTATAGGAGATGAAAGAATACAGTACGTAAAGGATCATAGTCATCTTAGGAAATATGGATTATTACTAGGTACTTACTTCACTAATCAATCTACTCAAGGCATCACTTTAAAATTTTGTCTCTTGGAATATTTGGAAAAATAAGTCTGTTCAAAAAGCCTGGCAAATATAGGTACAACAGCAAGCCCAGCTGATAACTTGAGCCATCAAAATTACTTTCCTTGACTGATCAGTATCTGCTAGGTCACAGAAACCCAAAAGTGAACAGAAGCTTCAAGAGGGGGAGTGATTACCATAAGTGAATATAAAGCAGTGGAAAAGAACTACTGTTAATGGAATTCTAAAAGCAAACTGTGCTCCCCCACCCACCACTCCTTGAAAATAAGTGAAGTCACTGCTGAGGGAAATTGTCAAATTCTTTAACGCGAGGCTGTACCTTCAATTCCATTGCTGGCTGAGCTTGAAGGATAATAGTACCCAAGATTTGGTGGGGGGATACCCACACAGACTGTTTTAGGTGGCCACCAAACCATCTCAGGTAACTCTTGATATCACAGGTAAAGGGACTGATTTTCATTCCATATTGAAACTTTATTCTCTGTCTACATAATTATCCAATTCCTTGTCTAAACAAATTTGTATAGCATGCGATGTTGGCAACACTAAAGCCTTAAGAGCTGGGATCTTCAGCCTTAAAATATTTCAAATTCTGGAGTTAGTAAAAACCTTTTCCCTTATATGTAATACAAAGATCTGGCCCTGAGAGGAGTCCCCTAAAGGTTCCAGATTGACTTTCTAACCGAATAGCCAGTATGTGTCCTACCTTCATCACCTTGCAGGAGTTTACTGAGGCTGCAGTCATGGCTCTGAAACCTGTTTCTGAGGATTAAATGAAAGTCCATCTTACAGAAAGTTGGAGAAGAAATGAAAATAAAATAAAAGGAGGACATTGAATATGATTCTATTGACCACTGCAATCACTTGTTTCCTTTCAAAAAAAAAAGTCAAAAGCATACTTGCTATTGGTCTGTAATAATGCGGGAGTTAAACATAAGCAGTTGAATGCTATTACATAATCTTGTACAAAGGAAAGCGTGCACTAGAAGGTTAAAATTTTACAGAAATTCTTCATTCTAAAGGATATACTAATTTTTTTGACATTGGTTTCCTTGTCCTTCGGCTCAAGAAAGCACTTAACTGTGTTGAAAACTACTCAGTGTTATTCACTAGAGTACAATCTGCCCTTTCATTGGCCTTTGCAATGTCAAGAACATCCTAAAAAAATTTTGGACTGGGGAAATGGATACACTCACCATTCCAAATATTTAAGAGCTCATGACATGTGTTTGAAAACTTGAAAGTTTGAATTTCCATAAACTCAGACATGGCTGTGCACAGACCCATCCCAACATGCCTACAGTGCTGTAGGAGTCAGAGCAGAATACCTGGACGCCCATAGGCCCTAGAGCCTGCTCTACACAGTGAAGAAATTAGAGTCCCTGGTGAGGAATGACACTGAGGTTGTCCCCTGACCAACAAGCACCTTGACACATGCATACCACGGTTGTAAACATTAAAGAGTACATGCACACAAAAATATATGGTTACTTCAATGGGCATTCAATTACAAATACTTTATTGGTCAAATGTTACTAAATAGTGCACGCCAAATTTCTATTTGATTACTTGCTGTGGAATTCTATTCCAGGAGTGTTCGCAGTGTACATGTAGTGTACATGTATATAGTAGTGTATATGTGAGATCTTTGCTGTGGGTGTGTGCCCTGAGCCATGGACCTGTGCACTGTGGTTTGAAAGCGTGTGCGCTGCGTTGTGGGCCTGTGCTGTGGTGTGGTTAAATGTGCTGCAGTGTGAGCGTGTGTGCAGTGGTGTGAGCGCCCCTATGGGAGGTATGGGGAGAGTCTGTGCCCTGAGTGCTCACCCAGACCAGGTGGGGCCTGCTGACTCCAGTCTGGGAAGAGCGGAGGGTGGAGCCTCCAGAGCCCATACCCCCCGGGCTGGGGCGGTGTGGACTAGGTGTGAACCCAGCAAGGACCTGCTGTCTAGTTAAGCTAACGGAACCTAGATCTATTCTTCTCCCATTTAGTTCTCTTTGCTCTGCTGTCAATCATCAATACACTAGATTTTTCTGTTCCCTTATGTTCATCTGTTTATGTTTATTTTTTTCTCAAATTGTACACTACCTTAATTATTGTTTCATGGGAATCATTAAAGTCAGCTAATATCAATGTGTATACAATTTCTTCTGCTGTGTTGGATTCACTATTCTGGATTTTTTTTTTTCCCTTCAGGGGTCTTTTTCTGTTATTTGTTACATTGTTGCTAGTATCTTTGCTATTTATAATCTATGTGTATGAATGTATTGCCTGCATCTAAGTAGATGCACCCATGTTATACAATGCCCAAGAGGTCAGAAGAAGGTGTAGGATCCCCTGGAACTGAGTTATGAAGATGGTTGTTATCCACCATGTTGGTTCGGGGAATGGAACTTGAGTTCTCTGCAAGAGCAACCAGTGCTCTTAATCGCTGAGTTATGTCTCCAGCCCCAGGTCAAAATCTTAATATTGAGCCATACTATATATGATCTTGGGATATATCTCCATTAAAAATTATTTTTGCGGGGACTGGAGAGATGGCTCAGTGTTTGAGAGCACTAAATGATCTTGCAGGGGACCTGATTTGGATTCAAGCACCCACATGGTAGCTAAGAACTGTCCTTAGCTCTGGGTCCATAGGAAATGTGGGCCTCTTCTGGCCTCTTGAGGATTACACACACATGGAACACTTACGTGCATGCAGGTTAAACATTTATACAGATAAAACAAAATATTAAGAAATTATTTGTTATGCTGCCATGCCCAGCTTAATTTTTATGGATGTGTATGTCTGAATGGATTTGTGCATGTGAGTGCAGTGCCTGTGGAGGCCAGAAGAAGTCATTGGATCCCCTGGAGCTAGAATTACAGGCAGTTGTGGACTGCTTTATGTGAGTGCTGGGAGCCTAATTCATGCCCTCAAAAGAGCACTGTTCTCTGTTAACTGCTGAACCAGTTCCTAAGCCCTAAGACCTTCGTTTAACACATAGCCAGGCAGTAATCTCTGCTTCAACCTTCCTGCTGAACTGAGCCTACAGATAAGCCAGGACTGATTATGAAGATTTCTTGTCTTCACTGAAGACGTGTTCTCTCCTGGGCAGCCACAGCCCTTTCTTCATTCCCTGGTATTTTTTGGTGCTTTGAATACTTTAATTCCTAAAGAAGATTTTAACTCCATATTTTCCCCATAGACTTTTGGTGTACTCTATTGTGTAGGTCAACTGAAATCGATTGCTTGCCTATCATTATTTTCACTCAATTCTTGCCAAATTCCCACCATAATTGACTTGGTGCCCTAAGGTGAAATAAAGAAAAGGCCTCGATTAGACCTTTGGGCAGCTCAAGGCCGACAGATGGCCAAGACACATGCAGTAATTTGCAGATAGTATCTGTACTCTTTCTAGAACTGCTTGTCGGGTTATGAAGCAGACACTTGTAGGGGCAAGCTCCTGTATTAATGGATCAATGTGGCCTTTGTTTTCAGCTGAAATGCTTGTGAACAATCTTAGTATACCGAGACATGTTCCTTTATGTAATTTTTTTGTGTTGTGTGTGTCAGTGTATGTACATGGGTGTGTCCATGCTATGTGGAAGTCAAAGGTCAATATCCAGTTTCTTTTCCTTGATCACTGCTCTACTTTTGTTTTTTTGATTGTTTTGTTTTGTTTGAAACAGGGTTATTCACTGAACCCAGAATTATTCAGTTCTGCTAGGCTGAGTGGCCATTGAGCTTATAGAATCCACCTGTTCTGTGAACCCCCCTCCATCACTGAGAATACAGAAACACACACCCCCACCATACTTTTACACTGTGCTCAGACTGGATTCACTTCCCTTTTTTTTTGAGACAGGGCCTCCCTGTAGCCACAGCTGGCCTGGATTCGCTATGGAGACCATGCTGGCCTCAAACTCACAGAGATCTGCCTGCCTCTGCCTCCTGAGTGCTCGGATTAAAGCCTTGTGCCACCACACCCAGTCCAATTTTTTTAAAAATATTTTATTTATTTTTATGTGTATGCGTGTATTGCCTGCATGTAGGTAACTGCACCTGTGTCGTGCAATGCCCGCGGAGGACAGAAGAGGCTGTCGGATCCCCTGGAACTGGAGTTACAGACAGTTGTGAGCTGCCATGTGGGTGCTGGCATTCGAATCCGGGTCTTCTGCAAGAACAGTGTTCTTAACTGCTGAGACATCTAGCCAGCCCCCACATTCAGATTTTTATGCTTGTTTGACAGGCACTTTACTGACCCATGTCCTGCCTATCTACCTGCCTTTAATCTTTATCAAGTGAGACACTTGAATAGAGCAAAAACAAAGCACAGTCAAAATTAATATATGAGGCCGGCCATGGTGGCATGCGCCTTTAATCCCAGCACTTGGGAGGTAGAGGCAGATGGATCTCTGTGAGTTCGAGGCCAGCCTGGCCTACATAGTGAGTTCCAGGACAGCTGGGGCTACAGGGAGACCCTGTCTCAAAAAAACCAAAAAAAAAAAAAAAAATTAACATATGAAAAAGTTATTTATGAAGATGGGAAACCTCTTCCTAACAGGGCTAAATGTAAGGGACAGAGTATTCACAAAAAACACCACAAGAAGATATATTCCGTGTTGGTGGAGAAGGCATGGCCACAGGGCGGCAAGTCCACTGGGAGCACTGCACTGGCAGTCAGGAAGCAAAGGGAGCTCAGTGCTTGTGCTCCCCTCCCTTTCTTCTGCTTATTTAGTCCATGACCTCAGCCATAGGAAGGGTGATGCCCACACTTAGGATGTGTCTTTCTACCTAATTTGACCTAATCAAGATGACCACCGACAGTCATGTCCAGAAGCTGACCTCTCCTAGATAAACCCTCACAGGTGTGCCAAAGCCTGTGTCCTGGGTGAGTCTAGATGTGCAGCCAATCATAGGGAGATAGCTTCTCCCTTCTTCACTTTTCTCTTTTATGACTTATCATGCCTTTGATTCAGGGGCTAAGGACATTCCTCAACTCCCTCTCCCATCCTATGGGACATTTACTGAGGAAAGACGTGCATGCATTGCTTGTCAGCTAATAAGTCAACACTGTAAATTGGCAGGATTGCATGCATCTAACAACTACACAGGACAAACATGGGAAACGTGCATCCACAGCCCCTACACACTCTGATATTTGGGTAATTGAGCTTGTACCCAGGTAGAGCTGTCTGCTGATCACATGGATGATCAAATGTTGGAGCAGCCATCTTGGTGCTAATAAAGACAATGCCCACACGGCTGTTCAGGGTCCACATCACCCCTGAGTTCCCTGAGCTCCGTTGCACCTCCAGACTTAACTGTACTGTTGCCATTAACTTGCTCACCTCTAATCTCCTTTTTATTCAAAGAGTGTTTTAAAAATATTTATTTATAATTTATTATAATTTAAAAATTTATTTATTTATTTTTGTCTCTGTGAATGTATGCTACATATGCACAGGCTCCTGCGGAGACCAGAAAAGGGCATTGGAAACCTTGGAGCTGGAGTTACAGGCAGTGTGAGCCACCTGATGTGTGTGCTGGGAATGAAATTTAGGGCCTCTGGAATGACAGGAAGTAACCCTACCACTGAGCCCTCACTCCAGCCCCATGATCTTCCTTATTTCTAATCTTTTTTCTTTCCCATCTTCCCCAGCCCTTGTGGGATAATGGGAATGGTAGATTCAGATGGTCTCTAAGCCAAGGACTGTGGCAGCTCTGTGTCCTCCTAAAACCCAAGATAATTCCCCAAAGTAGAGGACAGATGTTATTTCCATTGCCCAAGGGTCCCAATGCCTGTTGGTTTGGCTTGC